AATACTCATACAGCCCATTTCTTCAATACTGCATAAATAGTCAATAGGCACATGAAAAGATACTCAATATTACTAGACAGATCACAGTGAGATCACATCGCTCACACCTGATAGGATGGCAATTCATCAAACAAACAGAAATAACAAGTGTTAGGATGTGGAGAAACTGGCATGCAGATGCACTGCTGTAGAAACATAAAACKCTACAACAGTATGGTTGTTCCTCAAAAAGTTAAAGGTACAATTCCACATAGGCTGCAATTCCTAGGTATATGCCTAGAACTGATATCAGAGGTTCAAACAGCTACTGGCAATACCAATAGTTACAGCACTTATTAGTGACMGTTGGCAGACGGTAGAAACAACCAGTGAAAACAACTCAAAAATATTGTCAAGGGATAAATGAATAGACAAAATATATGGTATACAGAGACAATGGGATATTATTCAAGCTTAAATAGGAAATTCTGGAACATGCTACAACATAAACCTTGAAAATATTATGCTAACAAGCCATCCACAAGACAAATATTGCATAATTCCACCTTTATGAGGTAGCCAAAACAATCAAATTCACAAATACACATGGTAAAATGCAGGTTGCCAGACACTTGGAGGATTGGGAAGAATGAAGAATTACTGCTTAATGGGTATAATTCCTATTTGTGAAGATGAAGAGTTCTGGGAATGCAGTGGTGAAAGATGTGCAACATGGTGTCTGTACTCTCATTTAATTGTACAATTAAAAATGGTTAAAATGGTGCCAGGTGCAGTGGTGCACACCTGTAATCCCAAAGGCTCAGGGGGCTGAAGCAGGAGGATCACGAGTTCAAAACCAGCCTCAGAAAAAGGGAAGTGCTAAGCAACTCAGTGAGACCCKGTTTCAAAATGCAGAAAAGAGTTGGGGATGTGGCTCAGTGGTAAAACACCCCTGGGTCAATCCTTGGTACAAAAAAAGGAAAAAAAATTGTTAAAATTGCAATTATGTTGGCGTAATTAAGAAAAAAAATCCTTCAATAATGCTAGCTAGGGCTAAAAACTTGGGCACTGAAGTTAATTTAGTACCCAGTTTCCCAGTTGAGTGACTTTGGAAAAATGAGTACTTCTGAAGAGCCATAGATTATTCTTTTGTAAAATGAGGATATCACTTCCTCAGAGATATTGCTGTTGAGATTACCATCCAAAGAAGTCCAATGCCAAGTACGGCCAACTCATATAAGTAACTCAAAAATAATGGGTTACTTCAGCAGCTCTGGAAACACTCCCCCACAGGGCAGGGGTGGGGTGAGGGACAGTATATGAACAAGAGGTGGAAAAACCTTAAAATGTTAACAGGACGGTAACAAAGGAACCTGAAAAAGGCATGGGGGATGGGCAGTCTTGGCTTTTCACCAGTCCATAAAGAACTCTTGGAGACACTGGACTTCATTTACTACAAGTTCAATGTGAAATATGACAAAAAGAGAATGTCATCTTGGGTCCTGACGGAGAGTCTAGTTCTCGTGTTGCTGTGTTTATTCTGAGAACATTCTTGGAGATCTGAATAAACAGGAGGGCTTTCAGAACAGGGCTCCCAAGAATGAGGTGAACACCCTACAATATGAAGGTCAGTAGAGAACACAGGGTGCTCCGAGAAAATGAAGGATGAACTACAAAATRGCAACATAAGTAAAAAATCCAAGTTATTAAAAAGTGAAAAGGGCAGGTTGAACAGATTTTATAGAACAATCACTACACTGTTAGGAGGAGGAGGAGTACAAGTGATGACCTATAAGGTATTTATTGTCTAAGAAATACGATTCTAAATATAAAAATTTAAATTTGGGATTTTTCAAAAGACACTCCAAAACAAATGCAAGGATTATAGTTTCAATCTGGAGTGTCCCCCGAAAGTCCAAGTGTTGAAGGCACGGTCACCAGCCTGTGCGGCTACTGGGAAGTGGTGAATTTAAGGAGGTGGAGGCTGGTGGGAGGGAGGAAGCTGTGTTGTTGGGGGCATGCTGGTGACGGAGATATTGGAACTGGCCCCTTACCCTCCATTTTTTTGCTTCCTGGCTGCCACCAGGTAAGCAGCTCTTCTAGCACATATTGTGCCATCATGGTCTGGTATTTTGTCATACAACAGAAAGACAACCAGCTTAATTAAACACAGGCACATACAGAACATTGTTTTACATACACACGATGCTGTTCCTAGGGAAAATCTCTTTGGATAACAAAAAAGTAATAATTTTTGTAAAAGGAGTATCACAACTTCCAAAGTATGTATTTCTAATTCGCAAAAATATATTTCAGGCAAAAAGGAAAAAACACACTTAAAAACCCACAAGCACAAATAAACCAACTTTAATAGATATTATTTTGTATTTATATAGCGCCTTCTTCAAGAACCTTAAATGCTTTACAGACATTATCTCTAATTAATCCCCACAACAACCCTGTGAGGTAGGTATTACTCCCATTTTACAAGACAGGGAGACTGAAGCACAAAGAGGTTAAGTGACTTGCCCAAGGTCACACTGTTATGTTCACTGAAGAGCCAGGATCCAAGYGCCTTAGCCTCCCAGCTCCTAGCCAAACACCTCATGAGACAATCTTTAATGAAAGTCATCTTTAAAGAAAGTATCAAGGGTAGTATGTTATGAAAATGAGGTCTTTCTACTGCCATCAAGGAAAGAAAAAAACCCTACACTGATGGTTAGAGGCCACAAGACCCATATATAGTACATTTCCTTCCCTTTTCCTAAAGCCTTCTGGTTCCTGTCTTAAAAGTACTTCTAAAAGTAAAATTTCTAAGACATAAACCATGTGACTTGGAAGTGGGACTTAATTTAGAATATTTACTTTTAGTTATAATTTATAGAAATTTTTATTCCAATATACAAAATATGGGACAGCTATCCCAACAAACATGTACATAGTTATATAGCAATTAGCCCCATTTACAGCTTGAACCTGCCCCTCATTTTAATCACAGCCAACCAACAAACTCAAATTGCTTTCTAGGTGGGTCACTTCTTACTTACTATATATATCTTTATTCCTTCTCCCCCCAATCTTAACCCTAAATGTTTTTTGAAGTATACTGAGTTTCTGATAAGCTTCAAAACATTTTACTTAGATCCAGCTGCACCGAGAATAAAAAGTAAATTTAGAACCATCACCCCACACTCCCTCCCCTGACAAATCATACTATGAAAAACGGTGTAAATGTGAAAAAAGTATGTGACTACCATGGAACCCAACACAAATGTTAGACTTTGCTACTATAAAATTTAGCTTGGTTTTTCCTGCTTTTTTTTTTT